CAACTAGATTGAAGAACAAAACGACAGCAACTTGTCTGTTCCCCTTTCCCCAATTCCCCAGCACTGTTCCCATCCCCGCAATTCCCCAATAAAAATCTTTAAAAACAAAACAAAACAAAAAAAAAAAACAAAAAAAAAAACCCAGGGAGGCCAATAAGGATGCTACTGCAATAATCCAAGTGAGAGAGGGTGTGGGCCATAACCAGGGTGCGAGTGGTGGAAGTGTTGAGAAAAGGTCGGATTGTGGGTTTATTATAAATGCAGAGTTGACAGGATTCCTTGACAGATTGGGTTTGGGCTGTGAGAGGAAGAGAAGCATCAAGGTTGACTCCACATGGTTTGGCCCCAGCAATTGGAAGAATGAAATTGCCATTTGATGGAGTGGGTAAAGCTGAGGGAGCAATGGGTTGAGGGAAGGGAGAAGGGTTTTAGACGTGTGCATTTGCAAGCCTCTTACATATTTAAGTGGAGAGAGAAAATGAGCAGTTGGCTAACAGAGTCTGAATTCCTGAGGTGAAATCCAGGGTATAGATCAAAATTTGGGAGTTCCGAGCATATAGAGGGTATGTAAACTGGCTGAGATCACCAGCGGAAGGAGTATAGATTTAACAAGAGTCCACAGTTGGAGCTTTTGAGGACTCAGTGTTACAAGGTCAGGAGGAAGGGTGGAGCTAGCAAGGCAGAATTTGAAGGAGCAGCCAGTGAGGTAAGCCGTCTGCAGCATCACGAAGAGCACCTGTCCTGTAACAGATGCTCAGTGAGTATTTGTGGGCCCTGGAGGCCAAGTAAAGAATTTAAAAGAGGAGGAAGCTGGGTTAAATGCTGCAACTGGGCCGTGTAAGGTGAAAATGAGAATGAGCCTTTGGACTGAGCAGCATGGAGGTCATTGGTGCTTCTTCGACGGCACTTTTTGTGAAGTGGTGGGAGGAAAGCCTGTTAGAGTGGGTTCCAGAAACTGAGGACTGAGTACACAGTCTGACATTGAATTTTGCTGAAAAGGGAAGGGAACATCATTTCACACGCTCCTTTTGATCATTGGGACGTAAGTAGCTGGTCTCAGAAATGGAAATTGAGGATTCATGTGGACATAACAGTAGTAGTCTGAAGTGTTA